AGGAAAACTGTGATGAATAAAATATGTATGTTATAAACCCTAAAATAATAATAAAAAATACTAAGCCAACAAAGGAGATAAAAGTATTGGAATAGAGGCTGGGATATGGCTCAGTAGTAGAGTACTTGCCTGGTATCTGTGAGGCCGTAGGTTTAATCCCTAGTACCATAAATGGATGGATGGATGGATGGATGGATAAATAGATAGATAGATAGATAAAATTAAGGTTCACTGACAACTAAAAAAGTATTTTGAAAAATACTAGAATAACCTAAAAGAGGGCAGGAAAGTGAAAAATAAAGAGGAGAAATACCAAATACAAATACCAAGATGAAGAACTCAAATCTAATCATATTGATAATCACATTAAACAGAAATGGTATAACCATTCCAATTCAAAGGTAGACATTGTCAGCTTGAGCAAAAAATAAGACTAAAGTATATGCTGTCTATAAGAATTGCATTTTAAAAATAAAGACAAAAGTACATTAAAAGTGGAAGAGAAGAAAAAGATATACCATGAAATCAATAATCAAAAGAAAACCGAGTTGGCTATATTTATATTAGACAGCATATTGCAGGGAAAAGTACATTACTGAGGACAAATATTTCATAATAACACTCAATTTGACAATTTATTTGTTGAATATCCATGAAGAATATGTGGCATCCTAGTAATTTAATATAAGTCTCCTCTTGCTGGAACTATTTTGAAATATATCAAGCTCTGAGAAGAGTATACATTTACCTGGCACATGGAAAGGTGTTCTTTTCAAACAAGTGCTGAAAAAGAGGCTAAGAGCTAAAAGTTATTTTGATATTCCTTTCTGCTGAATATACCACACAAATTTCAAACCTACAATCTTTCTTATTAATTTGATCAAAATTAATCACACTATGCCTATAAAACTCTGCATTTTTGTATAAACAGGTAATACTACCATAAAAATCCCATTCACCTCCACTTACCTAGATGTCTTATCAGTATATACTCATTAAAGCTATAAGCAGTTTTCACATTGGGTCTATATGTCTATCATTTAATTCCACTGACAGGGCTGGGGATACAGCTCAGTTGATAGTGTGTTTGCCTTGTATTTACACAAGGCCTTGGGTTCAATCCCCAGCATCACCACCAAAAAAAAAAAAAAAAAAAATACACTGACCCCAAGTTGACTAGATGCATTATAATGAATAAATATTAAAACTTAGTTATTTGCAAGTTGGCTTATATTTTAGGATTCAACTATTATATATTGAAATACACAGAATTATAATTGTCAAGTTAAAAGTACTTTCTTTGAGGGGGGGCAGGAGGGGAGTCTCAAGATGGTAGAATAGAGGAGGTAGCTTTCCTGGCTGCTCCATGGCATGAAAGCAGACAGGTAACTTCTTCTTTTTTTATTTGACAGGTAGCTTCTTAGCAAGTGAAGTAGTAGAAACCTTCAGGGACACTATAGTCTACAGCGAAGAAACTCTACTGCCTCAGATCCATACTGTTAGATGAGTAGACAAACAACATGAAAAAGCAAGGGAAAAAATTGTTCCAAACAAAACAAGATAACTTCAATAACAGAAACAATCAACACTACCAAAGAAGAAATGTCAGAGAAAGAGTTCAGAATGTACATAGTTTAACTGATCTGTGAAGTAAAGGACAGTATGAGGAGTGAAATCAGACAGAAAATATAGGAACTGAAAGATAACTTCAAAAAGAGATAGAAATTCTCACAAAACAAAACAAAACAAAACAAAGCAGATATCCTTGAAATGAAGGAATCAAAAATCCAAATTAAAAATTAAAATGAAAGCATCACCAACAGACTAGATCACTTGGAAGACAGAGTTTCAGGCAATGAAGACAAAATATGTAGTCTTGAAAACAAAGCATGTTAAGAGGCCATGAACAGAACTTACAAAAAATGAGATACCCTCAAGAAGACAAAATTTAAGATTTCGATAGATGAAGGCTCAGAGATACAAACAAAAGGGACGCACAATCGTTTCAATACAATAATATCAGAAAATTCTCCAAACCTAAAGAATGAAACAGAATATCAAATATCAAATACAGGAGGTCTATAGGACCCCAAATATAAAAAATGACAACAGATCCACATCAAGGGACATTATTATGAGAGTGGCTACTATACAGAATAAGGATAGAATTTTTAAGGTTATCAGAGAAAAACAACAAGTAACATTTAGTGGGAAACCAATCCAGATCTCAGCTGATCTCTCAATCCAGACCTCAAAGCTAAGAAGTTTTAGAATAATATATACCATGTTTTGAAAAAAAGGCACTGAAAACATACATTGGATAAAACATACACTCTTTGACACATGGTGCTGAGAAAACTTGAAATCCATATGTAATAAAATGAAATTAGACCCCTATCTCTCACCTTAAACAAAACTCTAAGTGGATCAAGGACCCAGGCATTAGATTGGAGACCCTGAGTCTATTGAAAGAAAAAGTAGGCCCAAATCTCCATCATACTGGTTTATGGCAAAATTCCTCAACAACACTCGAAATGATCAAGAACCTGAAGAGGATGGGAGAAAATCCTTCCCACCTGCACCTCAGATACAGCATTAATCTCCAGGATATATAAAGAAATAAGACAAATTAACACCCCCAAACCAAATAACCCAATAAATAAATGAGCAAAGGAACTGAACAAACACTTCACAGAAGAAATGGGGTGGGTCAACAAATATGTGAAAAAATGTTCGACATCTCTAGCAATTAGATAAATGCAAATTAAAACTACACTGAGAATCTATCTCACTCCAGACAGAAGTGCAATTATCAAGAATACAAGTAACAATAAATGTTGGTGAGTAAGTGGAGGATAAGGTACAGTCACACATTGCTGGTGGGACTACAAACTGGAGCAACCACTCTAGAAAGCAGTATGGAGATTCCTTAGAAAATGTGGAATGGAACCACCATTTGATCCAGTTATTTCATTCTTTGGCATATACCCAAAGGACTTAAAATCAGTGTACTATAGTGACATGGCCACATCAATGTTCATAGCAGCTCAATTCATAATACCTAAGCTATGGAACCAACCTAGATACCCTTCAATAGATGAATGAATAAAGAAATTGGAGTACATATACACAATGGACTGTTACTCAGCCATAAAGAAAAAACAAAATTACGGCATTTGCTGGTAAATGGATGAACTGGAGGCTATCATGCTAAGTAAGTGAAATAAGCCAATCCCCCCAAACCAAAGGCCAAATATTTTCCCTGATATGTGGATGCTAACTAACAATAGGTTACATGGGGTTGGCGGGGAGAAGTTGAGGTTCACTGGATTAAATAGGGGGGAATAGGGGAAGAAAGAGGGGTTGGGAATGGGAAAGAAAATAGAATTAATCAGACATAACTTTCCTCTGTTCATGAATGAATACATGACCAGTTTAACTCCACATCGTGTACAACCACAGATGAGAAGTTATACTCCATGTATGTATGATATGTCAAAATACCTTCTACTGTCATGTAAGTCTAAAAAAAATAACAAAAACAACAACAACAAAAAGATGCAAAAGAAACTTTAATTCTTAATCTTTTTCATGTCAGGATCCCTTTGCCTTCTTAAAACCTATGAAGGCCCTCAATGTGCTTTGGTTTGTGTATGTTGTATCTATGATTTTTATTCTATTTGAAATAAAAAATGGGAACCTTTTAAAAGTAAAGTAACATCAGAATACATTGTCATTTTCATAGTCAATTTAAATAATGCAAATGTATCACACCAAACTTTAAACAATGTGCTCACTGAAAATCAGATACTCAAATTCAAGATGCTTAAAATATTACATGAATCCCTCTTGAAGAATCACACCAGAAAAACACACTTACCAAAACCTCAAAGGAAAATCAAACCACTTTAAGAAATGAAATAAAAGGCAAATAATAAAAAGGGGAAAAATCTTTAATTCTTTAAATACTTTTCTCACATAAAGGCAGAAGAAATAACATGACTTTCCAGATCTCTTCTCAATGTAAGCATTTATATAACAGTTATGAAGGGGTAGGATTTGCTGTGCAGAGGAATCAATAACAATACTGTAAAGCCTACAGCAGTGCACATAAACATGGTGTAGGAGACATTAACACTAGACTGAAAAAAATAATTATATTTTCAATAAACATGTTCTTACTGGATAATCAATTTTCTACACGTCTTACCAGCTGTTTCACACAGCTCAGGTAGAGGAATGGCAGCAGCTGTTTAACCGAAACCATATATTATATGCATATGAGGTGCTTTTAATTTTTCATAGGTATCTACTTATTTGTGAGCAACCCATTTAACTCATATTAAATAAAAACAAAGTAATCATGGGGTGATTAATTCAGAAGCATTTTTAGTATATAGTTCTATTTTAGAAATTAATTCTTAACCAATTATTTTTATGTCAGAGAACTTAATAATTCAAATTACATGCTGCCCTTATTCCTGGATTTAAGAGATTTGTCACGATCAATGTTTCTGAAATATTAAATTAAAACATGTCATAGTAATTACTATGGAATAAATAGCAATTAAGATTTTTTAGGCAAATAAACTCAAACTATTTGCAATGAATATTTATGTTACTAACATTTTCCCACACAATGCATGAGTCACTTGTTACAAGTTGCCTTAAAAATGTAAAATGTAAGTTGTAGAATTACTTCAAAAGAGCTAAAGAAACTGACTTAATAGTACAAAATTCTGTGCTTGGTTTTTAAGTATCTATGTATAATGTATCTATAAAGAGGTAGAATTTCAGATAAATAATACAAATTAGACTACTTACAGAGAAAGATTGTATTTATGCTCCATATTTATAATGGTGAACCAAATGTATACTTTGAGATGGGTAAATAATTTATAGGACAAGTAAAAGATAATTATTTAAAAATGCATATCAGCCAACAACTATAATCTATCATGATAGTCCAACTCCACAATTTGCATTAAATAAATACTTACGGCTATATAACAAACTCTTGCTTTTTCTACCAACATCCAGTTTTTCTCCAGATCAAGATGTTCTTCCTTTTTGTAACAATTGGCAGCTGCAAGATTAGCTACAAGGGACCTAAAACAACAAAAGAAAAAGCATATATCATATTCAAACTGGTCAGATATTTTGGAATAGTTAAATATTAATATTTCCTGCAAAATTTCCAATTTATAAAATTTTAATTCTTAAATACTTCCATTAGATATTTTTTATGAATGCAAACACTATTAATTTTGTTTTGAAAACTTGGAAACTTCTATGTTTTCTTTGAGATAAAAAGAGATATGATAACCCTTCAAAACACCACTTGGTATTTTGAGAAAGTGGAATTTAAATGTCCTCAATACTAAAATAACATCTACTATTTATATTTAATAGTTCAAAATGCAGTTAAGAAAAAAGCCCACAAAGTCATTCTGCAAAAAGAAATCCCTATAACCAAAAACTATTAATTTAGCAGTGCTGGGGGTCAAATCCAGGGCCTCGGGCTTGTTAGACAAGCACTTTACCACCAAACTATGCCTCCAGGCCCTCAAATTTCACTTTTTATAGTGGAAAATATCTTCATAAAAATAAGACCAACATACTATAATTGACAATTTAATCTAATACTTTAAAAAAGAAGCATGAGATTAATTTCATAAAACACATATTAATGTAGACCATATTTACTAAGAGGAATTAATTTGCAAACCAGTACATTTTAAGGACTGGAATCAATTAGAATTAGTTTCTATACTTAAAAACTCTCTGAGCTGGGTCCACTTTATAGCTGGAAAATCTAACCAGGATTCTGTATTTAAAATACTGTTACAAGTGCCACCTAGATCGTTTATTTATAGCCCAATAAACAAACTTAATGAAATAAAAAAATTATATACATTTCATATAAATAAAAATAAATAGTTTTCTTCCTCAGTGTAGACCTGGAACTTAGAAAATTCCTTGCCAATTTTTCTCTTACTAAAATAATAACAGTATGGTATATAAAAAAATCACCTCATTATTTGAAAGTAGGAAAAATATTCTCTTCCAAAACATATTTCCATTCATCCATATGCATCTCTTTATGTTCAATTAAATGAAAAAAAATGAGAAAGAAATATGAATCAATATACTCATGCAAAGTAAGTATACTGCAAACTTATAAAAATAGTTGTATTTTTGGTGTGGGGATTAAACACACTCTTAATATATAAAAATATATTAATAACTATGACTTTAGAAAAGTTTTGGTAAAAATGGATGCCAAATAACAATAGACATTTCACTGAGTGCTGTAAATGGCTCTGGAGGCTGAGGCAGGAGGATTGCCAGATCAATTGCAGCATCAACAATTTAGTAGGGCCTAAGTAACTTAGTGAGACCTTGTCTCTAAACAAAATACAAAAAAAGGGCTGGAGATGTGGCTCAGTGGTTAAACACCTCTGAGTTCAATGCTGAGTACCAAAAGGGAGGAGGAAAGAAAAGCAAATGCTTAAGCACTTCTGGTATCAAGTACTAAACTTTATTTGATAATAAAATTACTTTTTGAATTTTGAGTTTTATATAGTGGCAGTAAGGTTACCAGCTTGATCTAAAATAATTTATCAACACTGTTGGGTTTCAGAATTTGAATAATCAATTGGATAGAAAGAGATCCACTTGCACCTGTTTCTGACTATCCATATCAGCTGAATAATGGTGATCTCCATAACCATAAAATTAATATATAATTTAAGCATTCAACATCTGGAGACCTAATATTATCATAACTGTTCTTTAAAATAGAAATTTGGCAAACAAAAACAATTTAGCAATTTTAACTCTTGCTTGAGTGGTGTCAGAGGCAAAACTTAACCCAGTTCTAATGAATGGGGAAACTTTGCATCTGCAGATTAATATTTCTTCTGGGAAAAGTGAAAAGGGCAAAAGTGTAAATGAGTATATTTCAATGTGTGAATACTGGATTGCTCAATATATCGAAACTTTAACACCATCAAATTTTGGACACAAAATTCAAGTTAAAGAGAAGCTCTGAAAACAGCATTGGCGCTCTAATTATTTTTTGGAAAGTCATCTTTTATTTATTTTGTAACTACTATCCCTACTGATCCTTAGTATACAGAATAGCATCAGGTTCTTAATAAACATCTGCTGGAGGTCAGGCAGGAAGTCAAAATAAAGGCAGTAATAAAGGGGATTGAAGAAAGTGTGTTCATGGGGCGATTAAAAATGGAGGGAAAGAAGAGAGTGGGAAGAAAAAAAGGAATGGAGGAGGAGAGACTAAATATTTCCAACTGCCAAGAATGCAAAATTTCTAGCAAATCACTATTTAAAAAGAGACAATTCTAACAATATCATAGTTAGGAAAGTTATTGTAGGTTTCCCTTGCAAGTGGGAAAAATACCTATGCTAATATGGAAATTATTTTAGCAATACATGCATATACTGAAGGAATATCGCCATATAGCTACAAAAGAACAAATCAAATGCATGGAAGGCCCTGCGAGATGTATTACAAGTTCACCTGGAGAATTTTCTAGTAAATAAACCTGTATAAAAATATACTTGGAGTGGCAAAGTACCCATAAGTAAAATTATTTAATATGGACAGTTGACTATTTTTCAACAATGTTTTATATGACCCAGTTCATTTGAAACTGGATTAATGTAGTACTTTATAGATGTAAAATGCACAAATACAAACACACATATATACACAACACATGTATGCATGGATTTTGAGATTCCCATCTCAGGTTATGGTGAAAAGATCATCCTACTTATCTAATCTAGCTATGAGAAGTTGAGCAAAATATTTTTCTTTCCTGAGCCTAATTATAAAAGACCAAACTCCATTAAGCCTCATGAATTCAATAGCAGGGTTAACAAAAGTAAACTGAAAAATGCAGAAGGCAAAAATAATATAAGGAAGAAGGGTTTCCTGAACACTTAAAGAAATTATAAACATGAAGTCTAAATTCCAAATTCAGATTGGAATTCAGATGTCATCAGTGTTTACACAGCCAATTATTATCAGTTTCCACTGAAATTACACCAACCTACCTGTTGCTACCAGTGATGCATGCAGCACAAGTTCCTGTTGGCTGCTCATTCTGCTCATAGTAATAAGCATCCACATGGGCTTCAGCAGCTTTTCTCTTCAGGATCTCTCCAAATTTATCTATCCCAATGCATCCAAAAAATGTTGCTGCTTTGTGTGGCTGCTGAATCATCCACTGAAAAATAGGAACATAAATAATTTAATGGGTCATAAAAATGGTACACATAGTTCAGTATTTCACCATGGTTAGTGGCATAAAAGGGATGCTTTGTGAGAAATTGGCTATTATGAATGGAATTTCAATTCTGTACTACTGCTTATGATAACAAACTTGACACATCAGCAATGCAAAATCTTACTACTTTAGGGGAGTATAATGAAATATGGTGGTTTAAGGACTCAGAGGTAAAAGTCATATAGTCAAATGCTGGCTTGGTATAAAAAAATCATAGTAAGTTAAGTAGCATAGCACCATCATAAAAAGCCCAGAAATTTCTCTGAAGACTTCCTGGGTTTAATCTTCTTTCATGAGTTGTATAAGCAAGAGTATGTGTCACTTAACATGTCTATGCCTCACTTTTCTCACCTATAAAATGGAGATATTTTATAAATATATTTTATAAAGTTGTCAAAGATTAACTGAAATAATGTAAGCCAGAGCATATTCATTGTTGAGCAGAATATCAACCACAGAATAAACAACATATATTAGCTGTGGTTGTCACTACTGTAGTACTTCTTATAATGATCCTTCAAATATAAATTATTGTAAAATATGCTCATACCTACTAAATGCTTTTAAAATCTCCAACTTTTTTTTTGCTATAAAAGAATGATGATGGAATTCTTTTATGATGCATGCTTTTTCAGTGATTTGAACTCTCTTGCATAATTAGCTCAACTCCCTGAGAGATCTCATGGTTTTGTGATTCTAAAGTCACCATTGTTTGTTTTAAATATAGTCAGCAAAACACTCTGTATACAAATAATATACTACTTTATATATGGAAAATGCATGTAAAAAGTATCAACATTGAAACATGTTATCAAATATTTAGAATATAATGCATGTGCCAGGCTTGGTGGTGCATGCCTGTAATCCCAGCAGCTTGGGAGTCTGAGATAGAGGACCTCAAATTCAAAGCCAGCCTCTGCAGTGGCAAGGCGCTTAGCAACTCAGAGAGACCCTGTCTCTAAATAAAATACAAAATAAGGTGTGGTTGAATGTCCTTGAGCTCAATCCCTGCTACCAAAAAAAAAAAGTTTGCATATCCAATAAATGACATTCATTTCTTAAAAAAAGAATATAATGCATGTATATTTGAGAGGTAAAGCAATGATGAGAGAAGATTAAAAAAAAAAAAAAAAGCTATAGGAGTTAGAGAGAGTAACTGCATAAAGACCAGCAATCTCATCTTTAGGGATTTACCTTGAAGAGACACACACAAATATAAAATAATACAGTATAAAATAATATAGTATTCCTTGAGATACTATTTGTCATTGCAAAAAGTTACAACAATCTAAAAGTCTATCTATAGAACACTGCCTAAATAAACTAGGATAAATCCATTCAGTAGAATACCACAGTCATCAAAAACAAAAAGTAGATAAAAACAAAACCCAAATAAAACAAGAAAACACTCTATAAAACAATCCATCTATATGAAACAATTTCTAGGATATTTTGTGTAATCAGAAAAGAATTTTCTAAAAAGTAAGGTTTAATAATAAATATACGGTTGGGGTTGTAGTTCAGTGGCAGAGTACTTGCCTGGAACATGTAAGGTACTAGGGTTTGATCCTTAGCACCACATAAAAATAAATAAATAAACCAAAGGTATTGTGTTCACCTACAACTAAACACGATTTTAAAAAGTAAATAAATGATTTAAAGAAAGAATAAAAATCAAGAACATATATTATTTAAAAACATATGGAGAAAGCTTCAGGACACTGGATTTGGCAATGATTTCTTATACATAACAACAAAAGCACAGGGAACAAAAAGGAAAATAGACAAATGTGGGTAAAACAAATTCAAGTACTTTTGAACAGAAAAGGACAATCCAATTAAGTGAAAAGGCACTTAATTGGATTGTCCTTTTCTTAGTTATTTCCAAACTATACATCTAATGAGAAGTTAATATCCAGAATAGATAAGGAACTCCTGTAACTCAAAAACAACAAAACAAATAAACTGATTATAAAATGGGCAAACGACTTTAATAGACAGGTCTCAAGTATGTATTATATGTATGTATTATACACATACACACAATGGGCCAATAAGCACATAAAAAGAAGTTTAACATCACTAAAGAATGACGTGGGAAATGCAAACCAAAACCTCAGTGAGACCTCATTTCACACTGACCAGAATGTCCACTATGAAAAGAGTAGAAAATAAATATTAGTGAGGAAGTGGAGATATTGGAACCTTTATGCAGTAAGGGCAGAAATGTGAAGTGGTGCAGTCACTCTGAAATAGTGAAGGAAGTTCCTTAACAAAAAAGAAGAAGAAAGATATTAACATACAATCAAGCAATGATAATTGAAAGCAGAATCTAAAAAGAGATGTCTGCCCAGCCAAGTTCATTATAGGATTACTTGCAATAGCCAACTGGTGAAAGTAATCCAAATATTCATCAATAGAAAAAGAGATGAAGAAAATTAGGGATATATATATATATAATCTAGCATATCTGTAATCAGAGAGTTTATAGATTCAAACTACAGTCTGGACAAAGAGCTATATAAACTCTATGCTGTTTTTAGTTACTCTGTAATCAGAATTTAAATGAATTATATATATATATCAGAATATTATGCAGTCTTAGAAAATAAGGCCATCCTGTCATATGCAACAAAAAGGATGAACCTCAAGAACATTCTGCTAAGTGAAATAAGGTCACTAAAGGAAAATATTTATGATTCTACTCATAGTCAGAAAGGAGCAAAGAAGTTTGCAAGGACAAGGGTTAAGGAGGAGGGGAATTAAATGTTTGGTAGGTATCGAGTTTCAATGATGCAAGTCAAAAAGTTTAGAGACTTGTTCTACAGTAACCCAAAGAAACTGTACACTACTAAACTGTACATTTAAAAGTTGACTAATATAATTATTTATTCCAGAAATAAACAATTCACAAGTTTTAAAAGACAAACTCTTATGAGTAGCATGATCCTCTGCTATCACCCTCTACACTTTTTGTTTACCATATCCACATTATCTATATTACCTCTTTTGAGTTACTTATCAACTGTTTTGGTATTACAGTGCTTGTGTTCAAGTACCTCTATTTTACTTAATGACAGCCCCAAATGTAAGAGTAGTGACACTGGCCATTTTCTTACAGTATATTGCAATAACTTTTCTATTATTAGTTATTATTGTTGCTCTAATGCTGTGCCCAATTTATAAATTAAGTTTTATCATAGGTATGTATACATAGACAAAATGTAGTATACCTAGGGTTCATTACTATTTGTAAGTTGAGGCATCCAGTGGGCAGCTTGAAACATCCCCCATTGATAAGAAGGTCTACTATACTTAAAAAAAAAAAAATCCAAAAACCAAAAAACTTAAAAGCAACTTATACTATGGTTACATTACATTTTCTTGCCATTAAAATAATAGTAAACTTCCTGTGAAATGAAAGTGGAGTCATTATAAATAATCTAGCATATCTGTAATCAGAGAGTTTATAGATTCAAACTACAGTCTGGACAAAGAGCTATATAAACTCTATGCTGTTTTTAGTTACTCTGCAATCAGAATTTAAATGAATTAAAATGCCTACATTACAAACCAATAAACACAAAGTATCAATAAATAATCACAAAAATAGATAAACAGAAGAAATATTCAGCAGGTTTTGTTATAAGTTCACCATTAAATATTTCAGCACAGGAAACTAGCTGACATTTTAGCTACTTTTGGTAGTAAGACACTGTCAGAATGGGACCTTTACTTTTGATCACGTGATTTACACTCAAAAATTGGTCTATCTAGTAAGACGCGGTGGCACGCACCAGGTACTCAGGATGTTGAAGCGATAGGATGGCAAGTTTAAGGCCAGCCCTGGCAACTTAGTGAGATGCTGTCTCAAAGTAAAAAATAAAAAGGCTGGGGGCTGTAGCTGTAGCTCAGTGTAGACCGCCCGCTTCATACTTGTGAGGCACTGGGTTCAATGCTCAGCACCACATAAAAAAATATAAAGATATTGTGTCCAACTACAACTAAAAAAATATTAAAAAAAAAAAAGGCTGGGAATACAGCTCAGTGGTAGAGCAATTATTTAACACGCATGAGGCCCTGGGTTCAATCCCCAGTACTTAAGGGAAGGTTTAATTTTACAGAAGCAATTATGAACTAGAAAGGAAGTAGAGGCACCCACCATAGCACTTACCTCCTTTCCTGTTTTAATAATATTACCATGGTTCCCCTGGGGGAAAATACCATTTGTTAACCAATTAATTCCAACCAAAAGTACTTATATTTATTTCCTAAAATTTAGTGCCTCTTGGGCACTACAAAACTTTCAAAGCTTAGAATCAGACTGGATATCACCTCTCTCATTTCCTGTTTCACCTTGATTTTTGAGCAGAATTTACTTTTTATCATAGTCACCCCACGAAAAAAGGAAAAGGTTTTGCAATGTACGTATGATGCCACTGAAAGGAAAGTAGCAATCTAATGAAAAAACTGAAATATCTAGAGCTATTTGAAAGATGTACATGCCATATTTGAAAGATGTCACTGGGTTTCCCTTGAAAATTTATATATCCTGCAGACTATGTGGGTTTGTTATAGCACCCTAGGGAACTTAGGAGCACACAGTTTGGGAAATAAGAGTATACTGCTAACAAAAACAATGAAAAAGAGAAATAAAAGAAAATTAGGAGTAGAATGACAAAGCAACTAGGTAGGAGGTTACTGCCTAAGGGGAAAGGTAGGCCTAGACCAGATAATTAAATGTCACTTTAAAAAGTTTAAACTGCATTCCGTAGGTAGAAGAGAGCTCAAAAAGGGTTTTGAGCAAAGGATTGAGATTATAAGGCATGGTCCCTCACTAAGGTAAGGAACAAGGAGAAAATTTACAATTGAATTTAAATAGGTACTGAATAAATGACACATGAAATTTCACATTAAAAGTCTTTTAACAACACATGGAA